AAGTGGTCCTGCATGACTCCACACTCCTCGTAGCAGAAATCTGGCACTGTGGAGTGCGTGCGTGCGTGCGTGTAAGCATGGCAGTGATTCTGTGTGTGCTTGTAGGCCTGTGTATGTCATGTGTCTGTGTACTTTGCTCGAATTTGTTTTGAAATGCAACTCTATCCAAACCTGAACTCCCCTAATGGGCAAAGGATTATATCGTCCAGAACAGCGTGTGTGCATCTGTGAGTGTGTGTGTGAGAGACAAGGCAAATACAACACACTCGCTCTCTATAATGCTAGCCGGCAGAGGCAGGAGCAGAGTGAAGAATGGTACCTGTCAGGAGAGGAGGAGACAGGAGAGAGGAGCGATAACGAGAGACTCCAAGAGGGGGAGGAGGAGTGCAGAAGCAATAGAAAGATTAGGGATACATGAAGGAAGTCTAATCGAAATGAGGGAAGGTGGGAGGGAGCGATGAAGGAGGAGATGAGATGAAAGGGGAGAGGGAGAGCAGGGAGAGACAGCAGACAGGATGATGAAGAGAGAGAACACTAAGAGTAAGAAAGAGCGAGAAAGAAATAAAGAAAGGGATGGACAAATGAAGCGAGGGGAGGAGGGATGGAGGCAAACAGACAAGAGCAATAGACATCTGCAGCCCCACAGGCAATACAAGGAGGTGCTCCAAGTGAAAGACACTGAGTGTGTGTGTGGGTGTGTGTGTGGAGGTGAGTGAATACGTGCCTGTAATTGCAAAAGGAAACTGACAGAGTAAGTTGGGTAAAGGAGAAAGACAGAAAACATTCATGCAAATGCACATTACTCGTCCTCCTTGTAATGACAAGCTCGTGTTGCGACAGATGTAGCTGAGCGGGAAAGAAAAGGGTAGGAAAACTGAAAGGAGGAGCGTGAGTTAAATTCTGAGAAGGAAAGGAAAAGAGGCACTGGCGAGGCAGTGACAGTTTCAGCACTTTTCATAACGAGACTGCCTCCTAAAGATTAGACACTGTTATTATGATGGAACAAATGGAGGTGATACCAATTGATCGGCAGGAAATACAAATGGAAACCATTTTAATCGATGTTTGAGAAATTTCTTTTAAGCAAAACATTACTGTTTCCAGTTCAAATTTGAATAACTTCAGATTTCCTTAGACTTCTATGAAGGTGAACTGAATATACTTGGATTTTGGACTGCTGTTCAGGCAAAACAAGACATTTAAAGGAATAGTGCAGCATTTCGGCAAGTATGCTTACATGCTTGTATACATTTTGCCAAGAGTTAGATGAGAAGATCGATACCATTCTTTATCTCTGTGTGCAACATGAAGCTGCAGCCAGTTAGCTTAGCATTAGGACTGTAAGCAATTGAACAGCTAGCTTGGCTCTGTCCAAAGGTAACAGATTCTACCTACTAGCACATCTAAAGCTAAATAATTAACATGATACATCTTGTCTAATTTGTAGAAAAGCTGCTGTAAATATAAAATAACCATTTATGGCAGCTATACCAAGTTGTTATGGAGGCCTGACTATTTTTGGCTGTGGGCTGTGACTATATGGAGTCTTGTCTGGCAACCTCAAGGCAAAGATAAGACTTCAGAGTGGTATTGATATGTTCTAACTCTCGGGAGGAAATATTTCTCAAAATGTTGAAGTATTCCTTTAAATATACAATCACAGGCGCCTTATGGTGGATATTATTTACCATTTGCTGGCATTTTATAGACAAACTTTGAGGAAAATACTAAGTAGAATAACTGATAATGACATTAATGATTACTTGCAGCACTAGAAATAAATACGTTTTTTTTTTCACAGCTAAACTAATCCAGTTGTTAAACTCTCATGCTGTCCATTTGCAAGATGGTGAAAATGTTTGTCAACTTGATAATGAAATACACACCAGATCACTGTATGCTTGGAATTGTGAGAGATTACATTATTAAAACAGCGCCTTTAGGCATCTGTTCATGTATGTTTTGTCTGATCTTTCTGTTGCTTCAGCAAATATACCCTCAAGCTGAAATAATAAGTAGCTTCAGACCTGGAAGAGATTACTTTTTTACGAGATAGATAGCAATGCAGTAGGTCACCACTCCTCTGCATCAGTTGTTGTTTTGTCTGTTTTCAAGGTTTTTTGTTTTGTTTTTATTTTGCATTCCCCCTCCCAGTGAACAGCACTGCATTTCACCACACTCATCCATTTTAAATAGGGATCACTGATAATAACACAATAAAATATTTAAGATGAAAATAAATTGGACAATATTTCATTATATAAAACACAGAAAATCTAATACTGTATTAAGATGGCCAGTGGCAGTAGTGATTTACAGTCACTTTAAAATGTAGCTTCAATTTAAGTTATAAAATATTTCACAAAATAAAGAAGCTTCATAGAACTGTCATCTTAGCCTCAAGAGTCCTCTGTGAAATGAAGTCAGGCCCTTTAGACATTGAATACAGTCCTTCACAAGTACAAACACTAGAAAACTTGACCGATACTTGTACCCTCCCCTATTCTGCAATTCCTCATCTGAATCTTGACCCAACCTGTGCTTGACTTAAAAGGTCCAGTGTGTAACATTTAGGAGGATCTATTGGTAGAAATGGAATATAATATTCACAAGTGTTTTTATCAGTCCTTCGTTCTTAGAATGGGAGGATGAAGTGAGGGAGTTGTAATCTGTAACTACTACTGCTAGATGCCACTAAATCTTACACATTGGTCCTTTAACTCCAAAACTGCCTGCTCTCAGATTACACTTCAGGGTCAAAACAGATAACCTTTAACAACTGTTATATACATGCTATTTACTGTCTCATCCTACATTCTGCTACCTGTACATTGCCTGTCTGAATCTTTCTTGCTACAGAAAGATCAAACCTTCACTGTCACTAATCATATTCCCCAGCTACTGTTCATGCAAACGTCATGGCTACATGACAGATGAGTGGCATAGAGGACTGTTTTCTGACCTCAAACTTTCTCAACAGATTAATCAAATCAGCATTACAGAGACAAAGGATATTTTTATACCCCTTCATTTTGCTCAACAGAGGTACTTCATAATTATGAATCAACTTCATGGATTTTGGCAGATTCTGTGAACTGGCAGTGGGCGCTCAGCAAGCTATGTAGTGATTATACTCAGCTCCACATCTGGAATTAATATTGAGCTATAAAACAGTTAGGCTTATGAGAATTTTATGAAATACATTTTGACAAGTCGCAGTGTCTCCTGAGTAGCTCTTGATGTCATGTGGAATTAAGTGGGAGCCAATGAGCCTGTAAGTCTGGGCTTTTCTTTCATTTTTAATCAAGCAGTTCTGTCAGTTCAGAGACATACTGTAAAAATATCTTGATTTCTTAATTCTGTACAAGGCACCTTTAAAAAAAAAAAACAAGTAATGAGAATGAATAAGCTTAGAAAAGTAAGCAATCATGTTAATGCAAATTACTTTTATGCAAATGCTTTGATGATGATTAAACTTTTTAAAAAAGTCATAATTAGAGTAGTTTGTCTTTTTCATGGTGGAGAGGGGCGTGTACTTGATAAAACAGTCCTGTAAATATCCTTAATGTTTTATAAAATTGGGTGTAAAGTGGTCCTCTGACAAGCACACTCCTTCACCCACAACTCTGAGCTTCAAAGATAAGACTTTTGTACTGCTTTGGATGCATGTGTGGGAGAGCATGCTCAATGTATATACGTTGCCTGTTCTGCTTACTGTTGGTGCAGTGTGTGGTTTGTCTACTTTATATCTATATCTGACAAGCACACTCCCTCTACCTTATCGACAAACCAACAGCGTGAGAGGCGCTGCCATTGTCAAGCTAACAGGATACAACAGAGGGCATAGCAGGACTCGCAAGCACATTAAGCCAACATTGGCTTGCGCAGTGAAGCCCGCCGAGTCTTAATTGAATTGATAGAGAGTATGGGGAGAGGATAGGGGAGGTCAGGGGAGAGGAATTGATGAGGAAAGCAGAGAGGGGGAAAGGAAATAAGGGAAAGGGAACCGCGGAAGGAGAATTGAGAGAGAGAGAGATACAAGGAGAATGAAAAAATATAGCGAGAGGAGGAAGAGGTAGAGTAATGGGGAATCCATGGGAGCATGTCTACAACAGGAGAGAGCAAAATCAGAAATATGGCTGGGGAATAAATATGTGTAGAACAGCAAAGGAATGAGAAAGAACAAGGTGAAAAAGAAAAGCAACAGGGCGGCTTGATAAAGAGAATGCAAACGAGAGAACAAAATAATCACACAGTGAGTGTGAACACGGTAAAAGAGGGATGAATCTATTACTAAGCTGTGATGGTAAGTAATGAAGGGAGAGAAACAAAGGAATTAATGAAAGATAATGAAAAACAAAACGGCTGGATTGCAGGTGAATTTAGGCTGAGAATGAAATTGTTGACTGCAAAATAGGCAATAGAGCTCCTTCTCCATGACTACGATTAATGTGCCCTTCAGGAAATCAACCCAAAACTAGTTTACCGGAGTTTCTACACAAATTAACATAGAGTTGGGCAATACAAAGCACAAAACTCATTATCAGTGCTGAATAAAACTCTCCTGCTCAAATAAAAGTTAAAACGACCTAATAAGTGACAGGGTAAAAAATAAGCCCAATATAGAAGAGGTGCAGTTTGCCTGGTTAGAGGAAAACTGTCTAGTTAAGGAAAGGACACAACTACAAAGTAAGTAAGGCCGAGAAAGCTAGGGTAGGTGAAACAGACTGAGGCTGAAATTGAATCCAGACAGCACAGACCAGTGGATGTACCAAACTTAATCTGGGATTGTTTGGCTCAGTCAAGCACAGAAAGAGGGGCAGCTTGGCAGAAACAGTGTGAGACATGCTAATGGAGGAATGTCAAATACAAGCCAGATACATCTTTGCACCAATAAGACTGGTAAAAATGATTAATGTCATTTTATGCAAGCAGCAAATGTGCAGCATGGGTACACCCCTCAGAATGAACAGAGGCAGTGTTTCATCTTCATGTCTCACCTTAATAAGGTCACCTAGTAGTTTGTTGGCTTCAGCATAGGCCTTCTTCACCTCCTTGAACTTATTTCCCAGTCCCATACTGTGAGCCTGCAATGAACCACAGTGAAACAAACAACAGCATGAATGAGTAGAGTCAAAAAAATATTTTTATTTCTCCTTTTGAGGAAAAAGTCAAACCATTCTGGGCAATTCAATGTCAACCTGTGATTTAAGGCTATAATTTGTGTAGTGACACCCACAGCTTTTAAATTTAGGGCGAAGGTCAGATGGACCGGTGCGATATCCCACTGTAAACTGTAATTTGGTACATAGTGCATTCGTTTAACACTCCCTAATATAATCACAGCTGGGCTCCGGGATGTGCACACACGCATTTTTACCAGTGGGTGCACAGCGTTGTGGATTCAGTCACTTTCAAATAGTCTGTGACACATTTCAGAGTGTGACTGTGGACAGTGTACATACTGTAGACTCTTGGTTGTACTAAATGTACCATACCAGCATTAACAAACACCAAAATAAGTTGTTTAAGCAACATTTTTCAGTGTCAAAAGCGCACTTTATTTCAGTCACATTTTTTGCATCTGCAGTAGCTTTGAACACACAAACATGTAAAAAAAAAAAGAAAAAAAAAAGTGTATTTTTAAAAATGAGATACTTTCAGAAGAAGGAGAACATAAGTTTATTTTTCTGTTTTTAAAGCTTAGACTGCACAAGTCTGAACAGTTTCCATAAATGAAACTGTCAATTACTGTAAAACAAGTGCACAAACACTTTAAAAGTAATATTGTGAATAATATTTAGCCTTCAAATCAAAACACTCACACAAAATAATATAAAAAATGACCAGAATAGCTCACTGTACCTGGAAGTGAAGGTTGGTGTACTGTCCTCCAGGAATCTCGTTCTCATAGACATCAGCGTTGCCAGATTTCATGGTGGCGGTGCAGTCAAACGGAGCGTACAGGCCTCTGGCTACTTCCCAATATTCACTGTAGTCAAACACCTTCTCCAGAGCAATGCCTGCAACAGAGTGCAGCAAAAATGACATCAAATCAGTGGTTACCATGCATATTTTCTTTTAATGAGGCTGATCCACAGTCATTTGAAACTGAGCTTGCCATTTGTCTTAAGACAACAATGTAGCAGAAGTGTTTTAAGAATATAAATCGAAAGCATGTAATATGGGGAGATATACAAGCCTTATATATGTGTGTATAGAGAGGACAAAATTCTGCTTTAAAGAATAATTCTGTAACTTTCTGATCATCTCTCTTTTGGAAAGAGTGAATGGAGACACGTGGCAAGCGCACTCAAAGCCAAAGCAAAAAGGAATTAAATGGAAAGAATAAACCAATCGGCTCCGCAGGCTTTGTTTCACTTTTTCTGTACAAATATGTAAGATCTGGTTGAAAGGTCAACCAAATTGAAGCTGCAGGAGCATCTGATCATACTTATCCACAGATACCTGGAGGTGTATGACCTGTGAAGCACAAACTTGTCGCACTAGCTAACATTAGCTAATTCAGTTTGTGTGTGTGGGATTTATGACACTGGAAATCAATGTGTCTTTGTTTTGAGTTCTGATTTGTTAAATTGGTTTAGTCAGTGAGGCTTAATGCCAAATTACCCAAAGTCACTTACGAAAGTAGCCCTGGATAAAAGGATGAAAGCGGCGTGGCTGGCGTTTTCCATGCGTTTTTAGACCCAACATCTGAGTAACCCCTTATGTGGCAACCTGTTATTTACCTAAATTAGTCAAAAGTGTCAGCTGGGACAGTATTGGATTTATGATTTTTTTAATAATGTTTTTTTATTTTGATATATGAAAAAATAAACATGATTTACACATATAGTACTTTGTACCCCAGAACAAGTACTAGCCATCAGGGAGGTATGGATGTGACTCCAGCCACAGTACAGTACACTAGTTATGCTTTACTATACCTGGGTCCCTTTTAAAACACTCCATCAAGCCAAGAAAAATTGCGAGTTAAAATGGGTTTTCAGGTTAGGAAAGCTTGTACAAACTGAACTACAAGTACGCTTGAAAAGTCACTCTACATTTACATTTTGGCTTTGTCACGTCAAAGCCACTCATTAAATCCCTGTGATATTCTGTGATCCTTAAAAAAAACAAACCATCTGTTGCTCATGTTCATGACATTCTGCTGCAGCCAGTAAAGGTGTGCTAAAGCTGATTACCTCGAAATATAAAATCTGCTTTAATGCCATGTCAGAAATGGCAGTACACCGAGCTTTTGGCTAATGATGACAAAAATCTGCTATTTTAATGAGACAAACTTAGCTCGTTACATCAACAACAACTGACTGACAAGCTTGAATGTTTGCGATTCAAAGCGAGTGCATACTCCAAAAAAGTGTTTGTGTGCTTCTGCTGTGATCTTGGCGAGGAAATGGAGCTACTGTGAAATTAATGTGAAATTAATGTGCATGTGGTTGCTCCTCAAATTCAGCTGCCTGCCAAGCCAAACCAGTAATTAGGTCCATTTCCTTCTCTGTTTAAGAATACCATTTTTGTAGCTAAAATGTATGCTTCCATTGTAAAATTACAGCCTCAGTTTACAAGGGGAAGTGATGGCATGTTCATGGTGACGCAGGCCTCTGTTGATTCAGATGTCAGCTCAGGTCAGTCACTTCATACACTGCTCTGTGCTCTCATGACTTTGAGGTAGTGGACAAAACATATATTTGTAAGTTTCTACCAAATAATTGGCAGTAACTTTGAGTTCTCCCAGCTGACAACACAAAGAGCTCCATACAAAACTGTGGATACATCGCCTCTGCTCTGTTGTACTGAAGCTACTGTGGGTGTTAAAAACTGCTATGTCGGATTATTTTGTGATGCATTTGGTACAAAATGAAGATTCTTCAAGAGAGGACAAACTGTAGCTCTCTGGCAGTATCTGATACCACAACCATTTAACTTTACTGTAGCTGTGCTGGAAATATTTCAATTTAGCCTGATATGGTAATGAGAAAAATGCCTCCAGAGAAGCCGTGTTTTAGGGTGTATTTTACTTTAATTGCGAAATACATTATTTGCAGATACACTCTTACAGTGTATGGTAAAATGGTTCAACAAATGTAACTCCACATTGGCATTAAAGCAACGTTCTGACTTTTTAACATAGGCTACTTATGCGAAGCTAAGCTAACCGGTTGCTGGCTTCAGCTTCATATTGAACATATGAGGGTTTTCTCAACCAATTCTTGACAAGAATGTGAATAAGCAAATGCTGATCTATTGCTTTATTATTCCAATGTATATTGGTAAACACGCCATTTTCTAAAGAACATTTTTATTTGCTTAGGCAATTCCCAAAGGGCAGTGGTTACAAATTTTAAATACTTCAATAATACACTTTTTAATCTAACAGTTGTAGTGACTAGTTACTTTTCGGAATAAGATTTAAATGTATTTGTTTTTGTGTGAATATTCATTTGTAAAATGCATGCCTTTTTGGTCATCTGTGAATGAAATAATGAAAATCATAGTTGGAAGATTTTACATTTAAAACATAATAAGCTGACAAAATACAACACAACCGCAGTGCCTTATTGGGGCTCCTTATCATATTTCGGACATATAGTTGATAGCAGTTTCACCATAAAGAAATGTCCCCTTCTGCAGTGGTTTTATTTAAATACTTACAGATAAAAGTATCCTGTATTTTTGAAGAAGGCTTACCCCTAGGTTGGGAACCACTGGACAAAACTACTGAACCTGCTGAACTGTAAATAAAGTGGATAAAGTAGCTCCACCTTGACCAGCTACAACAGTAAACACATGATGAGGCAGTATTAGACTAACAATTTTGTGTAATATATCAGCCACACGTGACATTTTACTGCAGAACAAGTCCTTTACTTTTGATAGTTTTAAGTACACTTAGCTGATGTCTATAGTTTATTATATATAGTATATTTAGATTGTTGTATTACTGTATTTTACTAAGGTAAAGGTAAAGTGTCTGAGTACCTCTTCCACCACTAATCTTTATCAACCTGCATGTATTTTAGAGTGGGGCCTGAAACCGACAAACAGACATTTTGATTGGGAGGCGGCGGAGTAACAGCATCTGCCAGAAAAAGACTTCTTTCCTTCAGTTTCCTGAGAAGAAGTTTAATTAGCCAAACACCATACCTGTGTGAGCTGGAAAGTCAGATGAAAGCAGAAAGTAAAGTTCAATCAGCTAACTTCAGTTATCAGAACAAACCAATGCTGTGTTTTATCTGCAGAATTTTATGCTATTGAGAAGATTTAAAGGTTTATTTCCTCCTGTATCCTACAAATGTGAAGAACAGCTACAAATGTTGTGGATTCTGATGTTTGGTAAATCACAGTGGAGGTAAATACAGCATTGTTGTTTTTTCTGGCCTGCTGATTACAATCCCAAAACCATCAATCACTGCACCACTATAACATGTGCATGAATACCACAGACATGCAGGCACACGCACGCACATACATCAGTCATTTAGATGGCTGCTTGGCAGTGACAAAGTGCCATCAAGATACAACTCATTAGCAGCCCAAACTCACTAATGCAGGAGACAAACAGACACACACATATTTCTGGTTGTACACGCATTCTCTACACCAACACAGACACACACAGTTGTAGAAAGACAGCCGCACACACACAGTTTGTGGCTGATAAGACGATGAGAGCTAACCAAGATGGTTAGATGAAGAAAGATGAGACACGAGGAGATTCAGGGAGAAAAGAAGGGAAAATTGAGCGCTGACAGATGAAAAAGGAGATGTGAGGGAGGTGAACAAGAAGTTAAATGTGTTAGCTCACCTGCTCAGTGATTGTGCCTCTGGTTTCATATGTGTGTGTGTACATTCTTGGGTATGTGTGACGACATGTCTTAGACGACTGCCCTGTTGTGGCAGCCGTAAGTTTCTCATCAATTAAATAAATGCTGTGTCAAATACACACAAGGGCCACTTTAATGTGTGTCATCATTCAACTGCACGACTGTTTGTGAATATGTATGACTTTTAAAATGCATGGATGTGTGCGTGCACGCTGTGGCTGACAAATTAATTAACCAGAGAAGTGCTGCTTTCACCATTTCTTCAGGACAAAGAGATACTGTGGGAGATACTGAGGGAGTAGAAGGGAAAGAGCACCGAGAGAGGGAGTTTGAGAGAGTGAAATAGGCATGTAAAGTGCTGTTAATTGCTTTGTCACTGAGTGAGAGGGAGGGAAGGGGAGGAAGAGGATGGAGAGACAATGTGAAAGAAGCGGGGGTGATGGGAAGAGGCATGAGAGCCTAGAGAGGGAGAGAGATAGAGGAGGCAGAGCGCACTGCACAGCACTGATTACTGCTTTGTAACAGAGATGGGAGAAAGAGGGGAGGCAGAGAAGGAAAGCAGTAAACAGACTAAGGTCAGGAAGGTATGGAAGTATCCAAGGCAGTGCTCCGCTTGATTACAAAAGTAGTCAGATAGGCAAACGGAGGTGGAAGGGGGGAGAGGCATAAAGGGAGGCAGAGATGAAAAGAACAGACGAGCACAAGGTGACGGGTATAAAAGAATTTAGAAGTGAGAAGGAGTTTGTCTGCATGTGTATGCATAATGCATGTACCAGGGTCACATCAGGATAGAGTATAAGTATGCACACACGTATGTGTCTGTGTGCAAGTGAGTGGGGGAGACAACCTGCATCCCAATCTCAGTCTCAAGTGAAGCAAATTGAAATTCCATGAATAAACTGACACTTGTAAACCACTCACTCAGTAACAACCTTGTCTTTCTCTCCATACTTTTTTGCTGGTACTGTATGCTCACTAATTGATATTCTGTCATTAAACTGGACTGTGTCTGAATGATGGCAGAGTTTATCTATGAGCATGACATATTACAGCATCAGAATTTGATACTTTGATGTACTAATATGTGACCTTTCCTACATTAGCCCAGAACAATATTTGCCTGCTGCAGAGGAGGGATGTGAACCTGTTGCATTCAGCTGTGTGAATGGAGAGAACAGCACTGAAGTAGGAGGTTTTCCTTTTAAAGCACAAGTCACACAGCATACTCAAAACACAGCATGTCTTAATGGCTATGTGTTGCTTTATGGACCATTACAGAATTTGCTTCCTCTTCCAAGACAGATTTGTCCCAGTATGAATGTTAAACATTGCTGCAGAAACAATGAGCCTAGAAAAGAAACACTCTTCGAAAGACACCCTGAGGGACTGATAGCGCCAAGACCTGAAGTTTACTGTCAACACCACTGTAGCTGCACGGAAACTATTAATGTGACAACACATTGTCTGTTTGGCCACTCATCCATGAAAATTAAGTTCCACAAAACACAACTAAACTGACCCAAAATGCAAAGGAGCAACTCAACACCAGCTGAAAATCTTGTTTTTGATGAGCAGCAGTTTAACTTTTCACCTTGCTGCACTGATGTAGTAGTGTACTCAAGGACACTATGACATCACTGTTGGCTATGGTTACAGGTTGAGGGCACCAGCACACATACACAATGTCAACACTCGCAAATATTCACCTCCCATTCACAAGCTAAGGGGGGGGATTAAAATTTCGCATCTCTCCCACAAGTTGAATTTTAACCTCATCCAATAGCAAATACGTGTGAGTGGTTGACCCCTAATCTGTAGATCCACACACTCATTTCTGGGCATATTCTGCACTGCCCATATTTTACAGTGTAAATGTTTTAAGGTGGATGCATGTACTGTAAGATCTATGTTAAATAATACAATCTGCAAAATTATTTTCTAAACTAAACCTTTATTATTGGACACAAGCAGTCATTAATAGGCAGTGAGGGATTTCTCTAAAGACCAAAAGTCGATGGGAAATAATGTTTCTCTTATGGCCGGATCATAACAGAACATCATCAGAGCAGAATAAAAGAATTATCTGCATTTAGCCACTATACGGCAACAAACAGCTTAAAATGTTAATAGTATCCTGCACTACAGGAGCAGACAGCAGTGCATTAGCTGTGTAGTGTGAATATAGTATAAACAAAATTAGCAGGGCTTTCACTGGTTCTGAGTAATGGAAATGAGCTATCAGATCTAGTTAGTGGAGCAGAGTCGGTTTTCCCAATTGCATTTCTCTACATAACTAAGCAGCAAACTTCACATCAGTTTTAATTCCTTTAGCCTGCTTCATGTTGCTTTAATTTTTAACAGCAGTCTTTCAACTGGCTGATGTAATATATTTTACACTCGACACCCATCGCTGTGGGAGGCAGAGGTCACTGAGCCCAGTCAGTTATCACAAGTGGGAGGGGCTCCAGCTTTTTCACATCCCAGTGAAAATTACCTTGAGCAGAACACACAACCCTACAGGGGAATGAACACGTTATAAATCCATCCTCCACGTATCAGTTGACCTCCTGAGAAGATAATAGAATAAAGCGGTGGTGGTCCAGAGTGTAGAGGAGCAGGCTTGTGACTGAAAGATCTCTGACACAATAGGTTGGGAAAATAAATGATGTCAAATGATGTCAAGGCCTTTACCACCTAAATGCTCCAGGGAGAGCTGCTCATTGGTTAAAGAAAACTGGCTGTGCTGGGATGCAGGTTCCGTTTTTTAGCATACGATGATGACTAGAAGACCACCTTATTCATGACTACAACCAATATTGTTATATACAAGCAAGTGGGTTTATAAGCATCAAATACATTTGCTGATGTTTCTCACCTTCCACTCACTATCTCACTGTTTCTCATTTCATGAGTCAGGAATGTTTTGCTTAACACAGCATCATATTTTATCGACCACTCTGGCCTGTTTTCCCCTCTCCTCCTGGCCAACACGGCTGACATGGGAGGATTGTCAGCTGAGCCAGTCCAGCTTGGCCTTCCAGGCTGTAAAAACTGACCTATATGACCTTTTTCTCTTCTTTTGGTTTGCACTGTCAACACTGTGCCACACATCTATGCATTGCTGTTAACTTGAGTTTTAATAAATTACATTGTTTTAAGTACAACTCTTGTGTGGACTCCCTCCTTGTGACATCCCTTGAGCCACTTTGTGACACCCACTTCCTCTCATAATTGGCTGTGTGCGTTATCGTTGAGCAGAATGTGTCGGACTTTACTTGACTTAAGGCCGTAATTAGTGATGCACTCTGTCGTTTATTGATTTGCTGATTGATTTTCTTCCCCTCATGTAAAGCAGGACACTCTCAGAGGACACTAAGAAATAATCTCAGCCAGACTGGTGATCTAAGAGATGTTCTGTCTCATTAACAACTCCACACAGCAATAAAAGCTTTATGTGGATACCTGAAGTGTTCAATTCTTTCCAAATTGTTCTTGATGATTGATTTTACTAACTGCTGAAAATGATGAAATAACATTTAGTGGAGTTCCTGTCCGCTGTTCTACCAAAATTGAATCTAATAAAAATCCTTATCTCTATGAGACCTTGTAATACTTCTGAAACAAACAATTGTCTATTGTCTGGTGCCTCTCTTGTTGTTGTCAGGCTGGTGTGCATGTGACTCACCGGTGTCAAGCTTGGTCCCCTTGGCACAGGCCACGATGGCTCCCATGCTTGGCTGAGAGGTCATCCCGGCCATAGAGTCAACCTAGAGAGTGACAATCAATATGAATACTGTCTAAAAACTGACTATGATAAAATATTAAATATTGTAAAAGTGCGTTATGTGGTTCCACACGTTAGTAGATCACTTCTTTTATACATTGAGCAAAAAGTATGGCGTAATAATCTACAATTGGTACATTGTACATTGCATACACAAGTGTGTGCATGTAAGTGTAATATAATGATTATTGGTAAGAAAGCACAAAAGCAGCAGTTTCCCATTAAAAGAGCCGGGATCTTCCTCCAAAACCCTTTAGGTCTTGGCTATCTTCCATGCCCCTATCAAATGTTTTTCACTTTGTGTGTTACTGTACATATTTGATGTATTACTTGGCAGTGAAAAGATCAAGTTTAACCAAGTAAACTAATGAAACCTATACACCCAAATGTTTTTAGAGGGTGTTTTTGATCCATGGTGGACAGTCAGTTGTTTCATTCCTACAGTGTTACAAGGAACTGAACCGGCAAAAATTGCAAATATCAGCCAAGTGTTTTAATGAAACTGCCCATGCTGGCAGCATGCGTCAGTGAACACAGTAAGGGAAAGGCTCCTGGCTTCAACAATTGTTCCAGCTTTGTTTCAGTGACATTTCACAATGCAAACTGCAGCAACTTGTAGAAAACACTCTACTGTATGTCTGTTAATATTGTTGGGATAATATGTGGGTGGACCTAGGCCTAGTTATGGAAAGTTCTCATTCTCCATAACTGTTCTAAGTAATTAGAGGATGATTAGACTGTTTTATGAAATGAAATTGAAAAAACAATTCAAAACCTTTCAGAGGCTTTTTTGATAATGTCTAAAACAGAAAAAGCACTGGACTCCATCTAAAGCAACCTTGTTTGTTAGGGCTCTGTGGAACAAACATGATGAATACTCACAGCCACGTCCACCACGTCTGCTCCAGCCTCAGCACAGGCCAGCATGGCGGCTACACCGGCTCCAGCCGTGTCGTGTGTGTGCACATGGATCGGTACATTCGGGAAACGGTCTCTCAGAGCACCCACCAGAAGCTTGCTGGCCTCTGGCTTCAGCAGACCAGCCATATCCTGATAATACAGAGAGATGGAAGAGGAGACACAAGGGAGGACAGATTAAAAGGACTGGTTGAGTGGCATCTGGCACCATTCATAAAATAAATATTTGCTTGTGATTCCATGAAGCTTAATATCCCAAAATATGAAATACATGTTACCGTGTATTTTCAATTTTACATTATTTAACTTTATTAAAACACCTTAATCTGGTTGTAAGTGGCTTTCTGTAACACATTTACATTTTGGATATGGAATCCTGGACTAAGTTAAACAAGATTGATTTCAACCACCTGTTTTAGTTCTCATTAGTGATGGAGTGTGCACACAGCACTGGCCCGAGGCTGCTTATGAAAGCTGGAGCAAAGTTCTGATAATTTGGTGGAACTGGATGAGTAAAAAACAGCCAAATCAATGGAAGCAGAAAGAACAGAACACCAAAATCCTTTAGCTGATTAGGACTTGGATTGGATGACAATTGAAATTCTCCAAATAATCAATGTGTCTTTTGATGAAGAGCATTAAGCTGAAGTTAAAACTGCCACTTTAATTGAAGCCATTCAAATAATGACAAGTTGTGGATTTTACACAGACATACTCCTGTGAGGATGATTATAATGTATAAATCTTAACGGATAATAACAGAAATTCATAGACAGAGCTTAGATGTTTACTTGCGCTCCCTTTGGTGATCATTGCACTCCATGAAGTTATAATGCATGCTCATTTCGTCTTTTAAAAGTTAACCTCATTAGCCGTACAAGCCTTTTATGAGATTTCCACTGCTGCGTGTGATGGTTCACACTGCGGTGGAGACATGATAAACATTTTGCATTTGAAAATATTCTTTCATGCTTGAATAAAGAAAATAATTCAATGTGAGCATTATCAGTCTATTCATTAAGATAACAGGCTCAAGTATACAAGTAATTTCAATGGGAATGAGTTTAAAAACTCAACAGTTAACGTGAGAGCGTTTGTATTAATTAAAATGCTAATTGAAATGCATGTGTTTGTGTGTGAAAGGCTTTTACTTCACAATGATACATTGGTGAAATTTTATTGATCTATTTTTGTATTTAGCTGAATGTCAGCCAACATTTTGACATCAAATGTGTCAATAGTGACACAAGTAGAACAAATAATGGTATTTGTTGCAGTACAAGCAGTCTTTTTTTAAAGCAGGGTAAAAGAAGTGAGTGAAACTCACGCACTGCAGCTTGCTTACATGATTAAATAAAGATAATTGCGTCTTACCTGCCAATGCTTGGATTAAATCAACTGAATACAAGGAGGTTTGCCTCCAAATGCTACTTAGAGTGCACACAGCCATGTCAGGCAGCCAAAAGCTTTAGCTGGTGGTTAGTGCAGGCCTAGATTATGATGACATACATGCAAATGTGTGAATACATGTGTAACTGAGTGTGTATACAAGCCTGAGCCGGAAAAAGTACTTGCAAAGATTTTTTCTAGCTGGTTTTATGTCATTCTGGTGGCAGATGGGCAGGGATTTCCACACAGAAGCAAATAAATGCCAGAATCTTTAGATTATCACAGGCAAGGAAAACACTGGCGTATTGTAGAACCCTGAGTAGCAGTACAACTCTCAAAGCTAACACTAGATCCTATTTTTACTTCCTTACCTTGATGCATAGGATGTGGGTCCCGGCTTTGACAAGCTCGTCTGCCAGTTTCAGATAGTAGTCCAGGGAGTACTTCTGCCTCATTGGGTCAGAGACGTCGCCTGTGTACGAGATGGCAGCCTCCACCACTCCACCTGCTGCTCCAGCAGCCTCCATGCCCAGCAGCATGTTTGGCACGTAGTTCAGGGAATCGAAAACACGGAAGATGTCCATGCCATTCTCCTTGGCCACCTCGCAGAACCTTGTGGGAGGGGTGGAGGAAGGGGAGAACGTTAGCCTATAGTGTACCTACATAAAAATAAAAGACATTCAAATGAGAACCAGAGACAGAAAAATGTGATCACTCTCACACATAATGAGTTTGTATTCATGCACAGTGTATCCCAGGTAATAGCACACATCTGGGTTGGGATAAGCCGTTTATATCCACCTTCACATCACCACTCATAAATAATCGCTGTACCTGCGTAAATACAATCTTCTCACTATTTCTATGAAAAGTGAGCTTACACAGCCTGCAGGAGCCCACAATAACTGAGAGAAATGTATACCCGCCTCATTATCCAAGCTGCCAGTGGTAAATCCTTCCTATTATTGCCTTGGCCCTGGTATCTTAATCAGGTTTTTCATAACTGGGGTGAGTGCTTACTGTAGCTGTGTTACTGTGAATGCAATATTTACAGACACTGAGAGCTTTTGTTTTGGCAAATAAACAGACGCACACTTAATGTTGTGCCATGAGAGGATTACGAGTCCAGCGTCTGCATGTCCAGTATTTATTTAGCACTACAATGCATACAAGGGCTGTCTAGTGGACGTTGTTTGGCACCAAATCAAAAATGCTTCACTGTCCCACATATCTGACTCAGAGCTGATGTAATCATTGTTCATGTGAATCAGAAAGTTTAGTTTTTCTGTCAAAAACTCCTTCATAAAAGTGACAATATGATCTAGTTAGCAGTCATTTGACCCTTTAAATCCATCAGGTGTACTTTGAAGTGGCACATCCCTTTTGCTGCAGAGTGTACTGTACTGTGACCCAGTGACATGCACTTTAAATCAAATAAATGAAATGAAATTACACTTTGATTTGATTTAGTTAATGAAGACGTTTAGGCCACTTGGCTGCGGGCTGGCTCACTGAATGCATCGAGAGTGAGAGAGTGACGGAGTAAAGGGAGAGAGAGAGAGAGAGAGCTGGGCAAACAGATCAAAGCCATTTATCACAATCATGTGCAAATTTTCACTGGCACTCCCCCTATGGGACATTGAGAGTGAGAGGGGTGGAGAGGGAGATGAGGAGCAGTCGGGAGGGTAGAAGGAGGGAGTTAAAGAGAGGGAAAGAAGTGTGTAATGCAGAGAGATGAATGGAGGCATAAAAAAGGGAGTCATATGAGTGGAGGATAAATAATGACTATATGATATGAGAGGGGGGAGCAAAAAAACATGGAGGATAGGGGAGGTCTGCGTGTGTGTGATTCAATGGAAAAGAGGGAGGAGGGGACAGGTGCATTAGTCATAAAGCCACCCCTAATTTATTTGAGGTGAGAGGAATTACACTGTGCATGTAGGTGTATGTGTGTGTGTGCCCTTGTCTGTGCCTGTGTGTGTGTGCGCTTCTGTATATGTGAGTCATCAACATCATCGAAGCAGCTTGTGAAACCATTTGGAAAAGTGTTTGAGGCATGTGTATGCATGTGTGTAGGCACAGGAGTATTTATGGCCCTAAATGCATTACCGGCTCAACTGTATCAATGATGTGTGTGTGTGTGTGTGTGTGTGTGTGCGTGGTGTGCGTGCGGCGGCGGCCGTGGTGCGCGCGTGTGTGAAATGCGTGTAACTCACTGAGCATGGTAGGAGGCAACAGGAAAACATCAACCAAACTGACCTGAATAAATGTGTGTGTCAGTTGTGTGGTTTGTGGGCAGCTACTGTACAGTAGATCCATTTAGTTATATTTAGAGAGAAAGCAGCTGTCTGAAGGCTTCAGGTGACATATACTATAAATACAGTAGAATGTAGGTGAACTATTCAGAGGTACATGTAATCTTTTTTTATTTATTAATCACGTTGGAAATACACAAATAACTATAATTGAGCTGAAAGCAACAAGGACGCAGGAGCCCAAACAGCAAATGAAAAATCCCTGGTTCCATAGCATCAGTCGACGTCAGTTTAAGAACAGATTTCATTTAGATAATATACAAAATGTTAACATAGCCAATTATTAGCAGTATTGTTACTGTTGCTGATTTTAATCACAGTTAAATATTTCTTTGAAATCTTTTAATTTGTGTGTAGATCAGTCTTGTCTGTTATGTTATGGTTATTTATTTACTTGCGTCACTGTTATCTGAACAATAATAAACCCCATAGCTGAGAAAGAACGTGTTTTTTCTATATAAAAAAATAAATACAAATAAATAATACACATACAGCTGCTTTGTGCGATGCCACACGCTTTGAGATCAAATGAACCTATATATTCGTTATGTATATATATACACATTTCGTCGTTTTAAGTGTTAGATTTATCACACAGAAGGTGACGACACATTATATTGCATCTCACCATTCTATTATGTCAACTGTAAATCCCTGTGCATGACTCTACAGTAAGCACTGTGAGAATAAACTGAATAAAAACTGATTTTGTTTGAATGTTCAGTGTTTCCTCTATGTTGATTTTGGAGCGGCGGCCCGTCGCTGTTCAATTTCTGCCGCCACGATATCAGAAATGGGGCAGACGCACAATGTAGTCACGGTTGCCTTTTAAATGATCCTGCCGACATGGCTGCCGCTCACATTGTAATTTAACAACAAGTAGAACTATTCAGAGGTTATTGGGGCTGTCCAGTTTAACTCCACATACTGTTGTGTTGATGTAGCTTATTGTCAAAACATTTGCTTTCTTCCAAGTCGACTATTGAACTAACAGCTCCACCAAAAACGTCACCGCGGTGGGTCGGTTTTAATTGGACAACGTTCAACTTGTAGTGCCAGTTCTGTTTCATACGTAAAACGTTTGCCGGCGTGACGGGACCGGGGGGGTTCTGACGGGCCTGCCCCCACTGCTAAAAAAAAATCCTAGAGGAAACACTGATGTTGTAGCTTAGGTAAGTCAGTCATGGCAAACAAACACTTAAAATCTTTAGTCGGGGACAGCCCTAGTAATCATGGAGCGCAATCATTTTTAATTTAATTTTTAATTAATTATCATGTGAAAGGCCTGACTATGCTTACAACATAGACACAAAATTATGTATTAAGATGAAGGTCCATGTGTTGTTTCCATGGAAACGCTCCCATTTTGGAACTTTTTCTAAATAGTATGACATTGACAGACAATAAAGCCACGAGGAGCAGCAGCTGGCGTCAAGAAAATCTTTTTTCAAACGGATGTATTTTCAACAATTCAATAAAAAATCTCTTCAACACAGACTGTAAGTTGTTCCAGTGTTTATATTTAAAGTCTGTCGTATTCAGTGCATACATTAGACAATGCACGGTAAGCTAGCGTGTGTACAGTGTATGATCTCACCTATGTTTACAACCCGGACGTGTGTGTGTCAGTGTGTTTCTGTAGCGTTATTAACAACAGTGTATGGATTTGGAAGTACAAATACAAAAGAATGTGTGCATATTCATAATAAGTCTCTGGGTGATACGCCGGTTAGCTCTTAAACATTTGATTTTATTTAATAACTGAAATCCATTATTAAAAAATGGAAGGATAAAGTTCAGGAGTGTGTGTGACTCACTTAAAGACAGCATTGTCAGGGTAGTTGGTGTAGCCCACGGCGTTGGCCCCTCTCAGCAGCATCTGGAAAGGGACGTTTGGGATCAAAGCTCTCAGTTCCTGGAGCCTCTTCCATGGACATTCTGACAGGAAGCGCATGGCCACATCAAAGGTAGCACCTACACACACACACACACACACACACACACACACACACACACACACACACACACACACACACAGTTTATTTCAGCTGTCATCTCAAGTCTCATTTGTCATCCCAGCTTTGATCTAAATTTTTGACTCAAAAACTAATATTTCAAACTTATCCCATTACCCCACACACACAGATGGCACACACACACACACACACACACACACACACACTACACACTAATGGACGCTCAAATAAAATCTGATACTTTCACATTCATTGTTCATTCTAACACTTCCATCATTTTATTCTAAAGTCACTTTAAAATCTATGAAATGTTTCAGTGGATGAGGCGAAAAAAAGAGATAGCAATCTCTCATTTCCCTTTCTGGGGGGAGTAGATTAGCGGATCTCATACCCGTTTATCATATCAGCCAGAAATATTGAAGCCTCCAGTGGTTTTCTGCTGATCCAACACTGCCATCATTAAATTTCATTTTCTGAGCACTCGTACATTTGGACACGGAGAGAATACAAAGCACAACTGCTTGGTCCCTACTCTGGGAAGAGCAGGAATGCCCGGAGAAACCCTCCTCTATCTTTTTTTTTATTCCCCCTCGATTTGGATTTCAGCCTACGTCAGCATCTCTTAAACTATTGGTTTGGAGTGGAAATTACTCCAAGCAATCCTATCTGATGTTAAACATATTAGTATTAATGTTTTATAGCACGTGAGATATAAAAGCATGATGCTGAGCAAGGAATTCATCTGGGACTGCAGAATTGACTAATTTGATAACAGGAATGAAGACTGACAGCTGGGCCTACATATCAGAACATTAGGCACAAACAGTGCTGAGCCTGCCTCTTTTTGGAAAGACAGGCAGTCTCTAATCTGTCATGAAGATGAGCTGAAATAAATCAGAGAGGAAGATGGAAACGAGCCTGTTACGCAGCGATCACGATTGCAAGCAATGTATTCAACAACTAATATTTAAAGGAAGTACAGAGAAATACATTTTGGGACAAACGGTCTCCTGCTTTAGGTGGGAATATGTGGGCCTGTAACATCTTCTGTAGGTATTAGTCAATTCGATATCAAAACTTAACAAGAAAACATGGTCTCATATTGGCAAACTCCATCCAAATGTCCCCTGGTGGGAAAATAAAGTTCTATGAAATAAACTTACTGTTCTTGAGCCAGTAAAGGAAAACACATGATGAATAAAAATGATTCACATCTATAATTTGAATCGTTGAGCTACATAAACACGCACGCAGACACACATCTCAGTAGTTATCAGAATTTTTGCTTAAGTGTGCAATTATAGCCTTGATGCATCAGACAGTTTATCCTGCCAAATCAATTTTAATGTCATCTGTGATTCCACTTTATTGCTCTGAGCTGGTGGATGTGCCTTTGTGCTGGTCAGACTTTCATGCTTGTGTGTCCACTGCCTGTAGCAAGAAATGGCTCGCATTCCCCAAAACATGCTCTGAAAGACTGATTATACGACTGGAGGGCAGAACGAGATGCACACACTAAAATGAGCACGTACAGTAATTAAGAATCTGCCGCTTCACCATCTGATAAATTCGCCAATTGTGAAACAGATACGGGGAACCATATAGATACATTAGGTGACCCAGTTCATATTACTGTATCTTCCATGGTGTAGGGAGAAACGCTATATCAGGAAGGGACTTAATCCTCAAAGGGCTTTCACAGGCTTAATCTCTTCAATGATTCATTCTGCCTCTAAGCAGCTGAAACATGTGAAAGCAATATTCCCTATCTAAGATCCTTCTGTGTAAAAAAAGATTCTTGCATAGGGACAATGTGTCAGGGTAACAGCGTTCAATACTCACGTGGTCATCTCCCTTTAGTGATTTATTTTGGTTCTAAGTGATTCAAACACAGCCGAGTGTAATATTCTCTATCTCTGATCACTTTGCAATAAAAGTTCACTATATAGGGAACTCCTATCAACAGAGGCACGGTAGTTATTCCTCCCCTGGTCATTTAGTGATTTATTGTGAGGAACTGTTTAAAGGTATAGTTACAAGCCGTCACTGTGGGACTGTGTGTGCTGGAGCTGAACTTTTTACTGCAGCATGGTAGCCTAATTTGTGCTTCACAACCTAAATCAATAATATGCGAGAGCATGGCTGCTAACTAGTGGATCTGGGAACTTTGGGTATTGGAAGCTATTTTATTACTACAGTTACTATTATTACTATTGTCGGTCTAGACCTGCTCTATTTGAAAAGTATCCTGAGATAACTTCTGTTATGAATTGGCGCTATATATACAAATAAAATTGAATTGAATGCAGAGTGAATGAAGGATGTTTAACAGTGGGGATGGGAAACAAACTGTCTGATATTCACACATTATAATGAGATATACTGTAAAAGAGTCTCTTATTAAAAGAGGCACTCCAATGATTTAACACATGAAGTTTACTCATCAAGAGAAGAACTACTCATCCAGTGAAAACTTCACTATGTCTGGTGTGGCTCTGGAGGAACCTTATAAAGCCTGAACCCTGATCCAATTGGGCTTGACTTCAACAGTCTGTTATGAAGTAGAGACACAGAATTTAAAAGATGTGGGCAGTTAGTAGGCATGAATGGTCTAAGGAGTCTATTGAGGTGCATTATTGCAAGCGTAGGATCCTGTGTTTGAGGAGCTTGACCCATTCTAGGAAATTAAAGTGTGGATATCCTGGCTTCTGCGGTTTTGATTTACTCTTTAGCATGCCAGGAAATGTTTATTGCATTCTTCAAAATAGATGTTACAAAGTCATTTACAGAAAATACAAAAAGGAGAAGAGGGAGATAGAAGAGAGAGAAAATGGTATATGAAACAAGAAAAAAGAAGAATATGAAAGGGAAAAAAAAGTCCTAAAATTTTGAAAACCTCAATGATCGCCCTGTTGACTGAGTGAATACAAATGATGGCAAACCACATGTAATATGGGTGCGGGCTGAAAAAACAATATTTAAATTTAAATATAAGACAATGAAACCCTAAAAAAAGGCATTTAATATGTCCCTTAATCAAAGCACTTTCCCCTTTCAGAACTAGTTCAGTATAATGAGACATAAAGGGGCTTCCCTGGCACCTATTCAACAGTTTCCTCCAGAGTGACGGATTGAGTTCACCGCCTGTTTTTACAGTCTCTCTTCAAAGATTTACTTTGAATGTAACTGCTCAAACATGGCTCAGCTGAATTCACGTCATCTTTCTCTGGTCAGTCTCATAATAACATCACAATATGCTGGGAGATGGAAGTTGGGAAGCATTTAAGCCCTTTCTATCGAAATATCTCCTCAATGATTTACTTTTGCTATAACCTTTTTATCTGTTCCAACATGAGAGGAGCAGAGCTGCTTACTGTGAGATCTGCTCAAAGTGCTTATTATAAAATCAAGTAAAAACCAAATAAAGAAAGATTTGTATTTTGTAAACATGCACACTGGTTTGGCTTTTTCTCACAAGTTTCCCCAACTTTATGAAATGAAAAAATGGAAATCTATAAAGAAAAATATTGGATTGTACTTTACTCCTCCAGAAATAGGAAAGGTCATGCTTAGATACAGAGCTTTAGCAAATGCAATCCCATGTGAGCCTCAAAACTAAGTCTAACTACTATAAAAATAAGTGATAAGCAATAACAGCCAGCTGGAACTTCAAGACTAGGCTCTGTGTCAAAGGCCTAGGTGGCAGATTCATCACTGTTGTCTAAATGCTCTGTTTTTCCTACTTAACTAATGAAATTAACATCAAAATATTAATATGCATGCACAGGAAGAATATTATTATACTGTAAACTAGTAAAGTCGTAGGAAGCTTTCAGGGGAATATCTCTCTAGAATTTATTCTGCCTTTAAGTGTTTAAATAATTATGAGAAAGCATTATTGTGTTTTCACTGACTCATAATCATATCAGGCAGGAACTACTGACGCCTCAAGAGGATCCACTAGCATATTGCATTTTTTCTTCGATGATCCACACGCTCTTCTCAACTTTTCCTAACTAAGAAAGACAATCTTCTGCTCCTCAACTCATAATATCAGCCCATTACAGAATCATTATGTCAGGAGGTGTTTAAACTTCTCCAGCTCCTGTTTTACATTTGATTTCAATGATGTACTCTTGCTGTCGTTGCATAAATGGGAGAGAGACAAGCATATATTCACTGTCTTACTTTTTTATGAAGACAGAAGACTGTTTAAAGTTCAAGAGCTTTCATTGACAGAAGATTTCAAAACTCGACTCCCACTGTAATTCAAACATTAGCACTTTACGGGAGAATTTAGAAGGAAGACACAAAGTAAGATGTATTCACTTTTCTCGTGCCATTTTATAACTGGATTCAGCTCAAAGACAAGATTATTCTACAGTGTTTACTAAGAGATTTTGCTGCAGCAAATGCCCAAATGAAGAGTGTTTACCACATTGTTAGCTCAGTTAAGATTAATTATACGATGAGCTATAAAATAGTCAGTTTAAGTCTTAAAAAGAACTGATGACATTATTTGATCTTATTATAAATTATTTAAAAAGACATGTTCACGGTTTTAGCCCAAAACCTATTAAATGTATGCTTATAATGAATCATAGTACATTCCCACCAATTGATTTGGTCTTGAAGATCTTACCCCACTGCCGCTGCTTCTCTCTGGCTTTTAAACAGTTCAATTGGGCAATGGTTTAGGCTTTCAAAAACATGAGAAGTCTCAGTTTAGAAAACAGGAAGCTACTAGTAAATTAACATCTTAAATGATCAATCATAAAATGGTCTCAAAGCATGCTTTATTGACTATTTTACACAGTTTCCTGTTTCTCACACAGATGGGAAGCCAAGAGAAATAGAAAGCTCAGTTTGTACTCTTTTATCAATAAAACATATACACATGTATGACCGTCCTGTGTGCTTCCTGTCCCCTAAAAGAAGATTTATCCACTTTTAAAAGCCTCAACGATCACCCCATTGGACTGTGTATAAACCCAGAGGTTGGGTTGTACATGATAATAAATGATGGCAAACCACATTTTAATAAGGGTGTTGACTATGAAAGCGTATGAAAGAACAAAAAACAACAAGTCTTATAAGGAGATTTATCACAGTTTTTGAAAACCTCAATGATCGCCCTGTTGACTGAGTGAATATAAATGATGGCAAACCACATGTAATATGGGTGCGGGCTGAAAAATGTACTACTTCTTTTACTCTTTAAATATAAGACAATGAAACCATAAAAAAAGGGCATTTATGTCCCTTAATCAAAGCACTTTCCCCTTTCAGAACTAGTTCAGTATAACGAGACATAAAGGGGCTTCCCTGGCCCCTATTCAACAGTTTCCTCCAGAGTGACGGATTGAGTTCACCGCCTGTTTTTACAGTCTCTCTTCAAAGATTTACTTTGAATGTAACTGCTCAAACATGGCTCAGCTGAATTCACGTCATCTTTCTCTGGTCAGTCTCATAATAACATCACAATATGCTGGGAGATGGAAGTTGGGAAGCATTTAAGCCCTTTCTATCGAAAAATATCTCCTCAATGATTTACTTTTGCCATAACCTTTTTATCTGTTCAAACATGAGATGAGTAGACAGTTGTTTAATGTGAGATCTGCTCAAAGTGCTCTCCCACAGTAATGAAATATATTGCTTTCCCCTAACTGGTGCACCATGATCGGCTACTAGGAGGAATTTAATCTCAGAAAGGGTTTACAGCACCGAAGAGGTTTCACTGGTGAGTCTCTCTCCGGCGTTTTTATTTTTTCCTCACTTTGTTCAACCATCTAACGATGAGCGCAGTCACTGAAACAGAACCTCTTTTTACTTTAGGCTTTTGTTATTTAGTTCTTATGTTTGTTCTTGTGATCTACTCAAAGCTCTCCAAGTAATATAAGCACAATCACTCCAAGCGGTTTACTGTAATTGAGCATTAAATTAAATGTTTCAACCTCAAGAGGTTCACTGGGCATATCTCTTCCACAAATGTGCGTGTCTCCTAAGTGTTCGAGTGTTCAAACAGGAAAAATGAATTTACTCATTGAAACCAGTTCATAAAAATTGCACTTCACATTCGACCATTATCGAGAAATTGATAATTGGTCTTATGTTAACTGTTCAAACATGAGGCATGTATTTTCATTCTGTGGCCAATTTCAGAGTAATTGCATATTATACAGGGATACTATTTGACTGTTCAGGCCCCAAGAAGTTTCAATAACGCATGGTTTTCTTTATTTATTCGAGAGCAGGAGAAAAGGTACAAATCATGTCTATTGAGGGAACTTGCTGAAAACTGACTTGTGGGAGAGGAGATGGAGCCATGAGATACATTTTCAATGGCACATGATTTTCACAGATCAAAAATGAAAAACAAAGAGGAACAATTACTGTCATCAATGAAGCATGGGGCGGATCTACAAGACTTGAAATGAACGGAAAGAATGGGAAGTACAGGCATGGCTGTTAAGACAAAAAGTTTAATTAACATGATAGCCATCGGAAGAGTAAAATTCATGGCTTGATGAGATCACATGTTATTGGTATTAACTCATATTCCTAATGAGTGCCAAATGGTGGTGTTGCTTTAGTTTGTTGTGTATATGTAAGTACCTCTCATGTCAGAATGCTAAAACCCAAAGGTGGAGGAAGGAGATAGTTGGCTTAGCCTAGCATAAAGACTGGAAGTAGGGGGAAACTGCTAGCCCAGGTTATTTCATGGTTGTCAAGACATACATTCAACACCCAGAAACTCACCTCCCCAGTTCTCCAGGCTGAAAAGGTTGCTGAAGTTGTGGCTGACGAATGGCGAGATCTTCTTCAGGTCGTGGGTCCGAACCCTGGTCGCCAGAAGTGACTGGTGGGCATCCCTGAAGGTGGTATCCATTAGCAACAGACCTTGGTGGGCACGCACAGCCTTAGCGAATCCCTCAGGACCGTCATGCAGCAATATGTCACGGAAACCTACCGGAGGGTCGCCTAATAGTGAAGGAGGGACAGAGAAAGAAAAGATAGTTTGCGGGTTAATGTGGAGATTGATACAGAGGGGCAATGAAAGGGAAATAGGTTTGTGGTCATATATGAAATATTAATCTCACAAACTACTACATCAGATGCTAGAGGAAACTTTAAAATTCAACCACATACTTAATGATTAGTCCTTAATGTTAACATCTGGAGAAAGAAAATAACTGGAGTTTTTATAAAATGCGGACCAGCAATTACAGCAATGTGCTAAAAGAGGGGGTTCCATACGGTTTTGAATAAGGGGACAAGAAATGTGAGGAGGTCTTTATTTATTCAATCTTAAGCGGTCTATTGACTTTAGATACTGCTTAAATGTCTGGCAAGATAAATGATTTACACCAATTTAACAAGATGCCAGGCAAGCAGGTAAACTGATGTTATTTACACTTTTCTCTCGAGTTGTGCTGTTAACAAGTGTGGTGCTTGTCATAACTTCTGCTAATGAGGTGGACGCCATCTCCTCTCATTGCTGTTCCATTTGCTCTCAGCTCAAGTAGATCAACTATAAAGGAATAGGCTCAGCAGCCGGCTTATTAGACACACCACCCACCGATTTGTGAAAATGGATTTCTCCTGCTGACAGTGACTCACATGGCTATGGTTTTCTATATAAAGTAAGCAGCTACTGTTTAGTGAAACAAGAGATCCAAGTGACTGAGCTATGTACTGTATGGTTGCCACCTGACAGCGAACAGGTTTAAGGATGGCTGCTATTGCACTTTTCATGCATCACCAGCAATCAGAGAAATGTCATGCTGTAACAAGTCTGAGTAATGCATATATTTATATTCTATTTTCAAAAGTGTGGAGGCAGCTCCATATGGATTCCATTTAAATTATTATTATTTTTTATCCTTTTTAATTAATGTTACTTGACATAGTGTTTCATATATTTCCATATACATCTTTTGTCTTAAAACTCTCCAATAACCATATGAAGATGAAAGTACATGACAACAGCCATGCTTGTGGTATTGTACAAATACAAATTTGACCTGATAGTGCCAGATCAGGGGTAGGCAACCACGTGCAGCTCTTAAGCCCCTCTCCAGTGGCTTCCTGTGGCTTTATGTGAGAAAGGAATAATGTTTATTTTTAACATTTTCATTGTTGTAGGCCTAAAATGATTCTTACATTCTCCACTTAAACTTTATGTTTTGACTGAGCACCATTTCCTCTATATTTTTCCGAACCTCAATAGCGGTGGCTAGTCTCCCGCTAAACTAGCTATGTATTCCAAGTCCAACTCTATTATTTTATTATTATTTTGGATATCACCAAAGTAAAAAGGATTCATTCACATAAAGGATTACCAATCCACCCAGCCGGTGGAGACAATAGAAATCTGTACGTAATGTCATGGCAATCCATTCATTGGATGCTAAGATATTTCATTCTGGACCAAAGTGATTGGTTGACATTGCCAACCATGGAGCAATGTCGCTAGCATGGCTAAAAATAAGACCAGTAACGCAAGCTGACAGATGATCTAGAAACAGGTAAACCACACAGAGCAACATCCATTAAGAGTGTTCAGAAACCCTGCATTATCCATTCCCTGAGGAACCCAGGATGAGGACTGTTGGATATGTTGGCATTAAAGGAGTGTTTCTGGTTAGCTTACAAGACTGTAATGTCATATACAGTATCAAAATGTATAGTCACCGCCACAAGGAGGAATAAAAACATCATTGTGGAATCCCCGAGACAGATACTGACATTTCCAGTTTATAAAAGCTAAACAGTCCTCAAAACAAACAAGTTAAACATTGCAGAGACCTTGTTCTGGGCCGCAGCTATAACCAACCTTCTATCCTAAACCTCCTCTGTTGCCTCATCACTCTTTCCTCTCCATGCAATTAAACACAAGCACAACCAGAGGCAATAAAATATTGGAAGTGGAATTGCGATCTATTTTTGCTGCAGTGTGTACAATCATCAATCAATTAGACTAGTTAATGAGGTACTATCTGCCTGCTTAGTTGTCCTCCAACCCTCTGTCCCTCTCTCATCCTCTCTCACTCTCTGTGTAGTGGAATATTTGCGCTTAACCTTTTATTGTTGTACCTCATCCCTGAAAAAAAATGATCTCTGCTATAATTGTCTCCAAGGCCGGCATGCACTCTCCACACACCCACACCCACACCCCCACACCCACACACACACACACACACTCTGAAGATACATTTGTCCACACATGTCAACACTCACTGTGAGCACACACAGGCTAGATGAGTTCTGTGAAATCACACTGCCGTAGCAAATAAATACAGACGCTTTAAACTTATCAAGATCTGTGTATAATACGGCCGGCTGGGGAACACACCGCACAACCCTACATACACAGAAAAATGATTTATCCTCAAAGTTCTTCCTCCCATTTCTCATGCTTGTGCAGTCCTAGAAACTTGCTCCTTATGTTTTTACCACTCGTGCCATTTTTGAAACGTATGCCTCAACACAATAGAGAGGAAATGAGGGCATCTGTACTGGGACTAGAGTGACTAAACAATGGCCTATGCATGTGGCAGCTTCCTAGAGGAAGGTAGTTTGAGGAGTGGATTTGTGTGCGTGCCATATCGTACAGAGCAGACACAAAAACTAGTAAAGAGATACAAGTCCCAAGCGGTTGCTGTGCTTGACAATTGACCCACTTGCGCACACACACACACACACCTTTCCTTTGCATTAAAAAAAACACCTCACTCCCGCTCTCCACCTTCTTTTGCACTCACTTTGCTCCTCTTTCTCCCAAGCTGGTGTCATTTCATACTTCTTCCCTCGACATCCTTCACCTGTCTGGTCCTCTCTTTACAATCTTCTCCTCCAGCTTCATAATACCAACTAATATGACTTGGTAGAGCGAGCTATGGTGCTCAGAGGTATTTTCTTTATTTGCAATTTGTGTAGGGAGACAAACTCAAACTAACAGCTTGCCTTGTCGCTGTACTGAGCAAACATCTGCCTCCCGAGAAGACTGTTAAATGTCTTGTATCTTTGTGTTTAGGAACCTTTTAATTGGCAGATCCTTTTGGGGCTGCTAATTAGTGCTTTATTAAAGTCAGGTGTACTGGAACAGTCAATCAATTAAGCCTGCACATGTTAAAAGCAGGTAGATGGGTAAGTATGAGATGTAAGACAAATGCACAGCTTGTTGTCTACTACAGGTGCCATTTTCCCCTAAAAGTTGTTTTCATATAAGATATTCCTTTCTAACACTGCAACATGGCATTTGCATTAAATTTGCATTTATTTATTGTTGCTATTTACCACAACTACTAAAATACAGCCTGCTGGAACACCTTTGACTGGCAGTACTGAATTTGTTTTCCACATAGTTTTATGGGAGGTATGAAACAACAATTGAAAATAAATGTTTTTTTTAGAACAAAGAAGAACAAAGAAGAAAGTTAATTTGCAGTACACACACCTGAAAAAAATCCAAAGTATCTTCAGGTTTCAGAAAGCCAAATTTTAGTCTCTTTATGACTCCTTTTAAAGCTACCTGAAAATGAGTTTTGGACCTAAACAAAAGTAAAACAAAATAAAGAGGCACAGCCAACAGCCCTGTCTGTTTGAAGATGGATAATGAAAGCATCAACTAGAAACAGGCAGAGAAAGAATAGAAATTATTAAGACATTAAGTCCATTTGTGAACAGATTTAGAATATTGTACTAAAAACTACCCTTCTACTTTAATCCTAAGAATGGAAATACAGCACACAAATGGGAGGAGGAAAGCAGTCTGTCATTTTTATTAGTCATTCTTCCTAAAGCTAGCTCAGAGGCATCTGGTGATTAACCTCTAGATGTCCTCCATTAAATAAATCCAGACAATAATTGGAACAAGGTGTACTTCTACACCATCGATGAACCACCAGCAATCAGAGGGAACGTTTTCGACTGCAAATCCTAATTAGAATATAATGGCCTTTGAGGACTTAACAGGGTCTGTCAGGACATCCTCAGCCTGTCTTTGAGGAGTGCATTTCCTCCCTTCCCTCCTCGGTGTGGAGGGAACTCCTAAAGAGCAATTTTTCTCATAATTCTTCCTCTTTCTCCTTATCTGTAGTTGTGATGTTTTGAGATGTGACAATGTCATCCTGATCTTTGCTCTTCTCTTTTCAGTGGGGGGCACAGTAATAGACCTTCTAGCTGCCTTTCCCATCCTCCCCCTTTCCCATTATATCTATCTATATCCTCTCACTGTCTGTCACTTTGTCCACCTGACCATCATTTTCTCTACATATAGGGATAATACACTGCCCAAACCCTCTCTCTTATGCTTTCATAACCCCTTTTCTCCTTCCGTGCCCCTGTCCCTCCCTCCACAGAGTGTGATAATACAGGCCTAATCCCTCTCTTCTCTCAATCCCTCCGTCGAATGAAAGAAAGGATATAAGCACATTACAAATCTCATTACTAGGCTTTAGGTATGCCTCTGTTCGTGCCTGTGCTGCATACAACTACCTCATTGGCTGCTTACAGTAAGTAAGTGGGGGGCGTGAACACAAATGTGTCCTATACAGTACGTGCTCAGTCCAGTACATGTCTGTGCCAGTTTGTGCGTAAGTGTGTGATTTTCAAGTGTACATACATGTGTGTTTGCTTTCCTGCGATAAGAAGGGCACGCAATAATAGCTTTCAACACAAGATTTGCATAAGTAGACAAGTGGTGGGTAAGCACAGAGAAACACTCACTCACTCACTCACATGCAGACGTACACAAACACTGCAGATTACTCTGTCCTATTCTATTCCATTCCGTTCCACTGTGCATGGTTTTTAGATGTCAGATTTGATTAGTTATGCCTGATTATGATTCATATTATTCACATTGTTTTGTTATAAATTCATGTTTACCGGGCACGCTGGGGTATGTGCTAAGGCAGTACAGGGTGCTGATAAACATGTCAGATTGATACAGCTGACTATTTTGTTGCCGTCAAAAGGAGCAGCTGCATAAATTCAAGCCAGTTTTGCACAACTAACAAAAATAAACCTGGGAGTGCAGAGAAAGGACAAAAAAAATGCATCACTGCAAAATGGCCAGAGACAGGCTGTGACATCCAGTGAAATAAGACAATTTTTCTAGATACTTTTAAGTTTTTTTAACAACTCATTTAATAGTAAAAATGAGCACATCTAATCATTAATTTAAAATGAGTATTTTACCAGTATTCCAGCCTCAGTTTAATCTTTTAAAATTCACTCAGACAGTATAGTTAATGTGGGAAAGAAAACCCCACAGAGCTCGACTCCAGAGACTCTAAGTGGCTCAACAAGCTCATCAAAGAGCCCAGCTTGGCCGTTGGCCTTTCCTGCGAGACTCCGGGGGTGCTGGTGCAGAGCAGGGTGAGAGGCAGAGAACTTCTGCATTCACAAACAATGAACTGCACCCCTCTCACCGCTGTACTCACAGCTCAACAGAGCACTCTGGGCCAAAACCCCTTCTCCTCCCCGAGTGCTAAACTGAGCCATTTAGGAAGGCCTTTCCGCCTACAGCTATCAGACTGTTCGACAGCCCATTTGTCATTTGCAGGGTGCTTTTATCCAAAGTGCCCTACGGATCCACAAGTGTTTACATTTTTAGCATAGGTGCCCCAGGGGAAATGAAACCTCTCACCCTTGCAGTGGCAGTGCCTTGCTAAATTAGTCCAAATGTAATAAATGCAATAAGGATGATGCATTGTGACGTTATTATGGTAACAGTCCACAACATTTTCTAGCGACACAACACTTGTTTTTATAGGTTTAATATAGTATTAAATTATCAGTCACTGGTCTTGTAGACGCCTTGCCCTATACACAGAACTACACTGTGTAAACAGGTTTTTTAATTATTTCATTGCTGAAGCTCAACTGAAGAGACTGCCTTTAATGCTTTTAGTGTGGTTTAAAATCTTACTTTCATTGTTGAATAAGGAAGGTGACTTAGGAGTTGTGACTGGGTTAGCAGAATAATGTGTGAAGGGTGAACTATGCACTGTGATTGGTTGAATTGCATTTGACTGACTTACCCATGGTGACAGGAGGGATGACAGGATCTATGGACGAAGGCTTAGCTTTGACTGGAATGGGCGTGGTTGGTCCATTTACCATCACATGACCTGGATATGAGTGTAAAAATAGAGAAAATAATGAATACAAGTCAGATGCATACATACATACATACATACATACATACATACATACATGCGCAATACAGTATATCTAATATCCTGTAAAGACAATAAAGAAAACAAAAAAATCAATTAGGGTTTTAAAAAAGCAGCCCTGAGGCTGTTAAGGATTATGGTCACATATTTGTGTATTAGTATTCAGTACATGTACCAACACATCTTTAACAGCAATCCTCAAGCTGAACTGAGTGAACTGAATATTGTCACATCTCGTACCTGTCTACAATGTCACGTTTATTTTTATATAAACGTGACATTTTTTGTATAGCGTTGAGCCTCCTGCTTTTCTCTCCTCCTTCCCATAAGGCTTTGTAGAAAGCTGAGATGCCCTACCCTGTTATTCTGCACATCCACAGTCATTCTAATTATCCCATTCATATCTAAGTGTAGGTCACTTCTCACGTCTTTGTTAAAATAATCTAAAGCAATATTGATTTCCCAGACCATATTTTAACATAAGGTCTTAAAAGCTAATACATTTATCTTTGAGCATGGTGTACACACCGAAGAGCAGCGATACCTTTTTCTTTGGTTAGACACCAATGGTTTGAATTTTAAGTCATATGCGAACCAGCTCAGCACTTTTTACCTCTTGAAATATTATTTCCTAACTATAATAACCTGAATTTCTGGTATAAGGTTTAAAGGTTGTGTTGGCCATCTCCTTTTTTGCATTAGTCCCCTCACTGAAATCGTAATGGTCAGCTCAGTTGTTATATACAAGCGTATTACTTCCTGATTAATAGCTTACTGAAAAAGAAAGAAAAAAAAAATCGTGGAATTATAGTAGGTAGGTGGTTGGTGAACTATTGACCTTACAATTACCGCTGACTGTATATAGGCATAGTTTTGTACTAAATGTAAAATAACAGCCAGCAACAAAATGACCTGAAATATAAAAGACACCGCTGTAAAGTCGCACCATTTGACCAGTGAAGTGGCCAATTAGCTTAAAAAATAGTGCCTGCAAATTGTTGAACTGAACTGGGTAAAACAGTTTGACTCATTAAGTTGATTTGTAATGTTCCACCTGTGTTGAATGTGAGTTTGTGTGTGTGTTGTTTATACACTGACCCAGGTAGTGCAGTAGTTTCTGGGCTCGGTTCTGAGTAGGTTTGAGGTTGAAGAGCTCCTGGTTCTCATCGATGAACTGGGTGTCCACGGTGGAGTGGAGGAACTGGTGGTTGGACAGAACATTCTGGAGGAACGGGATGTTGGTCTAGAGATGGAGAGACAGGTGGATAAACAAAGGAGGAGACTTTTAATTTGTTGTCTTCTTAAATGAAGATTTTATACAAATGGTTTGTAAAAACACTACAATCTGAGGTAAATTTAGCCACACAGTATAGAGAAGCGAGGGAGTCAAGACAGCAATCACTTAGCTCAAGTCCTGTTCTGCAAATTAATCACTTGAAAGAAAAGAAAGCAGTTCTTTTGAAGAAAACATCTCGCTTAAGAGAGCTCAGTGTTAGACTGACGTTTGTGACACAGTGTAAACAAAGCTTATGGTTACAATTGTTAACACACAAATAGTGGCATCACAAAAAACGCATTCCAATACCAGAGTACGGTAAACACTGTACACACAATTGCACCCACACCCACACCCACACACACAAACACACACACACACACGGAGCAGAGCGAGAAAGTCAACTGTTGAAAGTAATTACATTCCATTTCTATTTTGTTGTTTGTTTGCTTCAAAAGTATTATCACGCCAATTAAGCCCTCTAAATTAACAAAGAGGAAATTGAATGCAAGAGAAGAAAAAGGAAAGAGATGTAATGTTCATTACTTGATTTGTTTCAGATTTTTTTTCACGCTTGTAAGCTTCGTCCTTACAATGTGGGTAGACTGCATGTTGTAAAAGGCGGAGAAAGTGACAATTGGGAGTGAAAGAGGAGGGAGATTGACAGAAAAAAGGAAGGGGGGTTAGTAAAAAGAAAAGCAGAAATGGGGAGAGAGGCAGTATTAGTTGGAGGGATTGAGTGAAAGGAGGATATGTTAATATGTTCTTGGAGAGGCTTTAGATGTGTTTATCGCTGTTTAATGTCCCCAAGGGAGGGTACAAGAGAAGGAATGTAAACTCTGTGAAAAGATTATTTCTCAAAGTTTGCTAAAAATGTCGGAGTCTTAAGTGGCATTTAAAAGAAAGAAAACCCCTGCCACTCATGACCCGGCATGCAAGTATCCCTTTTATTCATACAGACACACACAACCAGAGCTCAGAACCAAGAGAGAAAGAGTCCCCAAGGACCTCCTGGGTATTGGCTTTGAAGCGGTTTTCTCTATAAGCCCAGAAATGTAACATCCGCCTCACTATCTATATAGATAGTCCATAAATAGATCCCTCTGTCAAACACACACACACAGCTGTAAGTATATGCATACACAAAACATAATCCACAGATGGACTGAATTTACAACCACAATTTGGCCGTTTAGCTGACAGTCAGGCCTACAGTCAGTGACTTCAAATAATTGCTGCAACACAATCACTCAGGAATCCCATAATTGGGAGAAGGGAGTTTAGCAATAAACAAACCACACAGACACACCTCATTACAAGTACTGAGAGAGGGAGATGTGGCAGAGAGACCAATGTGGTCAGCAGAATAACAAGCAAGTTGGTCATACCTACTGAGCCAAAATTAAGAGACAAAACTGTGTACTTTCTAGGCATTCACAGCAAAGAGATAGGATTTAGGTACACAGGCAAAACACACACAAAATGACACTGTATTCTCAGCCTCCTGCTACAGGGAGGAGAGCTGGAGAGGAGAAAGAGAAGAGAGCCGAGGGATTCACATAGCTGTGCTGCACTGCCAAGCCTTGGGCTACAAGCTGTGGACCAAAACAGAAAGGGATTTCTGCCGAATGCTGTAACTGCAATATGAGTTCAGAAACCTGTGGACATCTCATTTTCTTCCATTTATAGTATCTGCCAACATAACTGTATTAAAATATATTCTGCTATCTCACATGCTCTTGTCCTTGAGAAAGATAAGCAGCCATCTGACAAGAAATCTGCATACTGCCATATATTACATTTTTATTAGATCAAAAAAAGCTTTGACTTAAAGAACAGCAGACTGGCAAAGCAAGCTGGATAGGTTGGAATAAGTTTGTTTAAAAACACTTAACACCATGCTAACACAAAAACGTTGTTGGCTGAAAAACGTATCTATTTTATTATACTAAACTACATATAAGGTTACAGCCAGCATCACACTAAATCTAGTTGGTTTAATCTGCACAAAAACTAAAATGAGTTAGTAAAAAACAGTAAAAACTGAGTAAAGTGAGTAAAAAGTCACTCTGTGGGAACTGTGAGCAGCCCATTATACAAAAACAAGAACAAGAAAGATACGTTGTCTGCCTGCTTGACTCGGCACCAGCTCACATCCTCTGCCTCAAGAGAATCTCAATACCAGTTCAACTGTTAGTCAAGGTCAAGTCAAGACAGAAGACAATAGGGATAATATAAGCAAGGTTTGGGTTTGGCAGTTTAGCTTATATGAGGTGCCTTTTGTTGAAACATGTTCAACTTTTCAGTTAATGGGTTGGTGGGCTGGTCTGAGTCAAAAAGTCTGGGGCCATTTTTCATTCCCCGTCCATCTCTGTATGGTATTATGTTATGTTTTGGATCTACGACCTAAGATATTGACAAGTGAGTGAAAATGAAGTATTTCATTTGTATTCCAGCAAATATTTTCCCCGTTTGAACTGCCAGAAGGACAAGGTCAAAGGTTGAAAAAGAGCACAAAAAGTACAGCAAAAAGAGAAAAGAAAAAAGTTCTGATTTATATTTATTTGCTTTTTTGGAGGAGAGGTTTTTTTTTTTATTGGGCCTTGGGGCATTTCGACGTTCCACCTGCACAAGTTTCGAATTTTCCCTCATTTTTCTATGTTTGATGTCATCTTCATCTATAATTTATATGTGTAAACAAACTTAATATGTGAGTGTTAGGGTAGAAAGGTAATCAAAAAGGCATAAATAAAGAAAAAACATGGAGAGGCAGGGACAGGGAATGAGAGACAACTAACACAAACAGCTGCTATTAATGACAGACTCAAAAATAATGGAGAGGGAAAATAGACACCATTAATACACAGAGGTTTGTCCTTTTCCTCTCTGCTGTACCAGATCAATGTGTTCATTATCAGGCTGCTCTGTATGCCTGTGGCTACCACGCACACTAACACACACACACACACACACACACACACACACACTAACACACACACACACACAGTCCCTTTACTCTTTCTCCTGGTTTCCCCCTAATGATGTGAAACACACTCAAAAAAAGGACCACACACATCCTCACACACTTTGGTCTGTCCCTTTCCACCACTATCTCTACAGCATTTTTCTCTCAGTCTTCATCCTGCTCTCGGTGATATTACACACACAAATACTCGACAGAGGCTCGTCCCTGATTTGGATGCTCTGTAACAACCGCTTGGCTATAGCTCTCAGAGCTATGCTTGCAGCGCGCACGCGCGCACACACACACGCGCACACACGCACACACGCACACGCACACACACACACCAGTGATGATAGTGTCTCCTGCTCCCAAATGCCTTGCAGATTGCGAACACAAGCACATACACACACATTTGAGTACTGTATCAATTTTAGTGTGAAAGTAAACACGTCTAAATGTGAATTAATGTTCTTGCAAGCTCTCGTTTACATACACCCACGCTCTCTATGATAGCGAACAATTTCACTCACGCAGTATCAGAAGTCAACGCTTCATTTTGATGCAAAAGAAATCATGTGTACCTTTTTTCCCCCACAAAAAGATGACATTGGGTTCAGACTATCCCCATTTTTATTCTCACAGCGCTTGAAAAGTCTGTTTTATTGGTACTCTGCTCACAGCCAGTCATTATTGTTGCAATCAGCTTTATTGGTGATTGCCAAACTGACATAGTGGGGTAAGTATTGATGTCCTGGGCTTTTGGCTCGACTGCAAACACAAGTCAGCTCGACACAACACTCCTGTTAAAACACTTTGACTCTGGTTGCAGGGCATCTGCTACTTTCAGGAAGCTAAAACTTCTTTGTTTAACTTTATTTTAAATTTAAACTTGACTTTAAGAAAAAAAAACTCAACAAACAAGAGCTCATTAGCAATGTGCTGAAATGCAAAAATATTTTTTTTTTGCAATTGTTTGCTTCAGAAGGAGTGTCAAAGTTGTCATCCTACATCCAAATGTTGTCTGTAAAGAAAGAATTTACACCTGCCAGTAAAATGCAGTCTGGATATCTTGAAGGGGAAAAAAATATTTCACCTGCTATTTTATGTATTCTTGTTGTCAACAATGTGTCTGCACTGGGATTGGATGTCATTTTTCACTTTGCTATCAGGAGAGTAGGTGGGGTGAAAAAAACAAACAACTGCCCAGACTGCTGCCAATGTTTCTGTTCACATAAAATTGTACAACTCTAAGTTATGTTTGGAGCTGCTCTGCATGTGGACAGTGTACCACATGGGCATAACCTCAAGTAATGTAAAGACAGATAACACCTGGCTGAAGATCAATTATAATGTGTAGGTGCTTAGATCAGATCAAATTTGGACTGATATGTGCATTTCCACCTGCCATGTTTTTAAAAACAACATTATGATGTGAAGAGTCACATATATTGCCTATGCTTTGAGAGTGCCAATATAAACCCCAGTTATGTTCAAGTCAGCACCTTTACCGACACTAATCTGCAACCGCAACTCCAACACTTTGTTTGTTGTGTAATCCCCTGTAGTCCTGCAAGTATGACCTCCATCATTTTAGAATTACTATGAACACACGCTGAAACCTTTGGGCTGACTCTAGATATAAAAACCTGGGAGACCCTGGTCAAGGTCAGGGTCTGGGACAAATGCTACCTGCAGTATGTCAGAGATCACTGGGGCCACAGCTCTCTGCAGATGTGACGTAAAAGGTGGTGATAGAAAGGTTGAAGACAGAGGGCTGTATTTTTGTGAACCCTGCAGCGCAGTGCAGATTGCAGTGCTGCCACACTGCACCTCATCATTAAGCTACCAAACCAGTGCAGTCAGGGGTACACACTGGACTATATCCAAAGTAGTACAGTGTGTACCCCTGGAAAATAACAGTTCACCAGTGAGACACTGCATTGTGAGCCCTGCACCAATTCAGAGCCCTGAAGCTGAAAATGGTACACCAACACCACCAACA